AGTCTATAGTCTAGTCATAGTCTGTCTAGTCCTAGTCTATAGTCTAGTCTTAGTCTAGTCTATAGTCTAGTCTATAGTCTAGTCTATAGTCTAGTCTATAGTCTAGTCTATAGTCTAGTCTAAGTCTAGTCTATAGTCTAGTCTATAGTCTAGTCTATAGTCTAGTCTATAGTCTAGTCTATAGTCTAGTCTATAGTCTAGTCTATAGTCTAGTCTATAGTCTAGTCTATAGTCTAGTCCTATAGTCTAGTCTAGTCTTTCTTCCTGTCTATAGTCTAGTGTTTAGACTATTCTATGTGGTCCGTGCAACGTTTGTTTGTATCGAGATAACTCGAGATAACCTACATCAGATTCTAAAAATCTGTTCCTCGGGACACTCTATTGTATTTTAAAATATATAAATACATATGTATGTACTATGTCTGCATGTATGTATATTTTTACGTACTTAAACAAAATTCTATAGAATTTTATAGTTTTTTAATAGTTTAAAAACAAATTAGCAAAATTCCCTTTATAGTTAATGGCAGCAAATCAATTAACAAAATCTCTAAATAAACCATTAAATGTCATAATTGTTTGATAGTTGAAGTAAAAAATAACATATGTTTGTATTTATATTTCTAAGTATTGAATATTTAGTTTTTTTATTAATAAAATTTTATAATAGAAATTCTGATAGAAAAGAGAAAAAAAACAAAAATAACAAAATCAAAACAAATAAGAAAAAAGTTGTATTCATGATTTTTGTTTAAAGCTCAAGTTCAAGGCAGAGTTCATCTTCAATGTTGGCCACAATTTATTATGATGGTGGTTAGGTTTAAACACAATAATAAATTTATAAAATATTTAACAAATTTGTGCTATTTTTGGTTAATTTTATTACAAGGGGAAAAAGGGGTTTTGAACATTTCTCGCTTTAATTTAATTTATGATGATGATGATGATGATGTATTAACAGATTTTTATTTTCTGTTGGTTTTTCGGCGGATTTTGTTTAAAAAAACATGGGGTATGAATAGTTAATGTTTGTTCTTTTTGTGCTTTTGGCTTGTTTAAAATAAATTTATCATGTTTAACACTTTTTTTAACACAATGAATCGGGGGCTTTAAATTGTCACTGTTTTACATTTAATGGTTGTCTTTTTTGTTGTACTTCAGTGTTGGTGTCTGTGCGTGTGTAAATGTATTGGTTTTCAAGCGGCCCCCACAGTTTTACAAATGGTCCAGATGCCACAATAACTAATTGGTTACTTTATGCTACTTTTGTATCTCTAGGTAATTTTGAAGGTGGTAAACACTTTACTGCCTCTAAGTAAACAAGAAGGTAGTCAAATAGAGTAAATTTTTTTAAGAATTCAGTTACTATATCTTCTAAAAGTAATTTATTTGCAAAGTCCGTAGAGTTGAGTACCAGTCATTGTGCACAGCCGGGCTCTTAGCCTCAGTCTGTGTTTGAAAATGTGCGTCATGTTTGAGCTGGTTAAAAATTAATAAATAAATATTTATGAGAATGCAGGCTGGATTGTAACAAAAATTATCATGTTTTTTCTTTCGCTACAATTTCTGTTAATTTTTTTTTTTTTTTGCTCCAAAATGTTAAACAAAAAATCATTGTGTTTTTTAAATATTTCATCTTATTTTTTCCATATTTTATAAAAACTTACTTTGTGTAAATTTTTCTTTAAACTTATTTATTTATGCAGAATTGGTCTTATTTAATATTAATTTTTTCTCATTTTTTATATTGTTTGTTGCTGTTGCTGCTTGTGTGTCACTTGGGTGACACAATATTTTTGTAAAAAGATTTAAGTAAAAGATGAACAAAAGTTAAAACGATAAATATTAAATGTATCAGGTTTTACGACATTAATAAATGAACCGATTTGTATGAAATTATTTTGAATTTTTAACACATGTATGAAAATAAAAAGTTGCATAATGTTGTTTATTTGCTATAATTTCTTTTTTGTTAATTAAATTTTTTTTCGTGACTTTATTTGCATACTTTTAATCAAATAATCTTATATATAATTTTATTATTATTATTTTATTATTTTGCTAATTACAGTTAGCAGCACAGCTCGTGTTTATTTAAAATTGTTTAAATATTTATCAAAAATCTTGAAATTCTAGGTATTTAAGCTATTAAAACAACTAATTTTTATAAACTATTTTTTTAGCAATTTATCAATAACAAAGGTCTAAACCAAATCTTTGTAAATATCTAAAAAATGAGGTCCCACAATACTAATTGTAGGCTAGTCGATACTCTATTATATGGACTAGCATATAGTGTAGCATATAGACGTACACTAGCCTATAGACTATATACTATATGTACTAGACTATAGACTAGAATATATACTAGACTATAGGCTAGACTATAGACTAGAATATAGACCAGACCATAGACTAGGCTATACACTAGACTACAGACTAGACTATAGGCTAGACTATAGACCAGAATATAGGCTAGACTATAGACTAGACTATAGACTACACTATGGACTGGACTATAGATTAGACTATAGACTAGACTATAGACTAGACTATAGACTAGACTATAGACTAGACTATAGACTAGACTATAGACTAGACTATAGACTAGACCATAGACTAGACTATAGACTAGACTATAGACTAGACTATAGACTAGACTATAGACTAGACTATAGACTAGACTATAGACTTAGACTATAGACTAGACTATAGACTAGACTATAGACTAGACTATAGACTAGACTATAGACTAGACTATAGACTAGACTATAGACTAGACTATAGACTAGACTATAGACTAGACTATAGACTAGACTATAGACTAGACTATAGACTAGACTATAGACTAGACTATAGACAGACAGACTAGACTATAGACTAGACTATAGACTAGACTATAGACTAGACTATAGACTAGACTATAGACTAGACTATAGACTAGACTATAGACTAGACTATAGACTAGACTATAGACTAGACTATAAACTAGACTATAGACTAGACTATAGACTAGACTATAGACTAGACTATAGACTAGACTATAGACTAGACTATAGACTCGACTATAGACTAGACTATAGACTAGACTATAGACTAGACTATAGACTAGACTATAGACTAGACTATAGCCTGGACTATAGACTAGACTATAGACTAGACTATAGACTGGACTATAGGCTAGACTATAGACTAGACTATAGACTAGACTATAGACTAGACTATAGACTAGACTATAGACTAGACTATAGACTAGACTATAGACTAGACTATAGACTAGACTATAGACTAGACTATAGACTAGACTATAGACTAGACTATAGACTAGACTATAGACTAGACTATAGACTAGACTATAGACTAGACTATAGACTAGACTATAGACTAGACTATAGACTAGACTATAGACTAGACTATAGACTAGACTATAGACTATAGACTAGACTATAGACTAGACTATAGACTAGACTATAGACTAGACTATAGACTAGACTATAGACTAGACTATAGACTAGACTATAGACTAGACTATAGACTAGACTATAGACTAGACTATAGACTAGACTATAGACTAGACTATAGACTAGACTATAGACTAGACTATAGACTATAGACTAGACTATAGACTAGACTATAGACTAGACTATAGACTAGACTATAGACTAGACTATAGACTAGACTATAGACTAGACTATAGACTAGACTATAGACTAGACTATAGACTAGACTATAGACTAGACTATAGACTAGACTATAGACTAGACTATAGACTAGACTATAGACTAGACTATAGACTAGACTATAGACTAGACTATAGACTAGACTATAGACTAGACTATAGACTAGACTATAGACTAGACTATAGACTAGACTATAGACTAGACTATAGACTAGACTATAGACTAGACTATAGACTAGACTATAGACTAGACTATAGACTAGACTATAACTAGACTAGACTATAGACTAGACTATAGTCTATAGTCTAGTCTGTAGACTAGTTTGGTCTATACTCTAGACACTTTGCATCTATGTTTTCTCTTTCTATTGATTCCTCTTACTTCTTATTTTAATTAGTTTTTACTTTTCTAATATTAATTCCAATTATTTCTTTGTGTAATTCTTAAATTAATTTACTTCAAATACTTGATTCTGATTTTGCTAATCACAGAGTCAAACACATTTGTTCAGTACAAGTAAATCTAGGAAAAACCCACTTTTTACACATCCCCCCTCAATTGTTTATTGTTATTTAAAATTAGCATTTAGCCGGCAATTATTAAGAATTTATAAAATTTTTAATTAAAGAATTTCTAAAAAATGCATTAAAATTGTATAAAACAATTAAGATGTTATTTAGTAAATTTCTAAATATAAAAATTTTAATTATTAACGATTTTTAATTATTTTAGTAAACGGGATTTGAAAGATATTGTGTTGAGAATAAAGAATGTAAACAAGCGAGCTATAATCGGCTGATGTTAAATCCTTTATTATCCACCCATATTTATGTTTATGATCTCCTTTATATTAGTTCCTTAATTGAGAATCCTGCTCTTGATCTATAACTATAACTTTCGCTGATATTCCCCAATTATGTATAAAGAATAGATCAAAATTAATCAATCTAAAAACTTGACACTTTGTCATGACTTCAATTTACTAGGAGTGTGATGAAGATTATAACAATTTCTGACTCAAATTAATTAAAAATTAAATTCATAGAAAAAAACATAAAAAATTAACTAATAATTGATAAGAAAATTTAGAACCTTTTAAGACTAATTCAAACAAAATTTCCAGATACGCTCTGCAAGACAAAACAAACAATAGACACAAACAAATCTTAAGCATTAAAGGTATAGGAAATCAGCAGATAACAGATTGACCTTTTTATACATTAACCAAATGACCTAAACAAATATTTATTTAATAGAATAAAACATATACATATATACAAAGTAGAAGATTACGACGATTAATGTTTAAACAATGATTTGTTTAATTCCAGCAAATATACCGTTATCGCACCTGGCACCATACATTCAAATGACAAATACACGGCCGCAGTAGCAGTGCATCATAGCGCCGAACCCTGTCAAATCAAGGTGGGTATTACAGGGCCCTCATACAACGAGACCAAGGTGGTAGAGGCCTTACAAAATGAAGTAAAACATGTAGACTTTGAGGTTCCAGAGTTGGAAAAAGGTGACTACAATTTAACCGCCGAGGGTATCAATTGTTTGAATAACTTTAAGAATACCACCAAATTGAATTATGCCAAATTCAACAATCATGTAAGAATACAAACCGATAAGGGTTTGTATAAACCCGGAGATGAGATCAACTTTAGAGTGATATTTATGGATAAAGATTTGAAACCAGCTCAAGCGGAAAAGGATGCTGTTATCTGGTTTGAAGATGGCAAACGTAATAGAATAAAGGAAATTAAAGATTTCAAAACTGTTAAAGGTGTTTACACCGGCAAATTTAAGATCTCGGAATATCCAGTTACCGGAGGTTGGCGTTTGGGTGTTAAAAATGGTGGTAGATTTGATAGGACCGTATACTTTGAGGTGGATAAATATGTTTTGCCCAAGTATGTAGTCAAAGTGGAGGCTACCGAATCGGTGTCGGTTAAAGATGGTGATATGCAAATAGTAGTAAGAGCTAAGTAAGTACCAAGCATAAACTTATAATAAAATATTCCTAAACTCTCTATAAACATTTATTTACAGCTACACCTATGGCAAACCTTTGGATGGCAAAGCTACTGTAATTTTATCTTTGGGCTCTAACTACTACTACGATACCAGCCGCAATGGTAATGCTGAGCAAAAGAAACAACCCCCTACTCTCATTAAAACTGCCGATATGGTTAAGGGCAAGGCTAAAATCGATTTGAATGTTAAGGAGTATGAACCTTATTTGCCTTATAAAAACTCTCCCTCTTTCATGGGTATTACCGCCACCGTTGAAGAACAATTTACTGGTGTGAAAATTAATGGCTCTGCTTCCACCACTCTTTATCCCTATCGCTATGCCATGAATTGTATTAGTTACGATACCTGTTCCACCTTTGAAGTAGGCAAAGAAAAAGATGTTCTCTTCCAAATTACCTACATCGATAGTTCTAATCTAAAAGATACTAAATCGGAAGTGGAATTGATCTATAAAGAAGTTTTACGTAAAAACCACTGGTGGCATCGTGAACGTGAGTTGGAAGATGATGACTCGGTGGTTGTTACTACCATGGAACCTCCCGTCTCGGAAAATCGTACTGTTAGCTTTAAGGGTCATATGAATGAAACTGGTTTTGCTAGCTTTAAGGTTTCACTACCCGATTTACCTGAATATGAGGGTTATTCTCATTACTACTCTTTGGAATTGAAATACTTGGATGAACAACGTGAACTTTATACTACTTATCAGCATAGGGAACCCAAAAAGATTGATACTCCCAAGGAGGAGGATGACAAGCCAAAGGAATATTTCACATTGGTGGATAAATACTCAGCAGATACAAAGTAAGTTTAATATTTAAAGTTCAGTTCTAGTGCAGTTCTAGTGCAGTTGTAGTACAGTTCTAGTTCAGTTCTAGTTCAGTTCTAGTTCAGTTCTAGTTCAGTTCTAGTTCAGTTCTAGTTCAGTTCTAGTTCAGTTCTAGTTCAGTTCTAGTTCAGTTCTAGTTCAGTTCTAGTTCAGTTCTAGTTCAGTTCTAGTTCAGTTCTAGTTCAGTTCTAGTTCAGTTCTAGTTCAGTTCTAGTTCAGTTCTAGTTCAGTTCTAGTTCAGTTCTAATTCAGTTCTAGTTCAGTTCTAGTTCAGTTCTAGTTCAGTTCTAGTTCAGTTCTAGTTCAGTTCTAGTTCAGTTCTAGTTCAGTTCTAGTTCAGTTCTAGTTCAGTTCTAGTTCAGTTCTAGTTCAGTTCTAGTTCAGTTCTAGTTCAGTTCTAGTTCAGTTCTAGTTCAGTTCTAGTTCAGTTCTAGTTCAGTTCTAGTTCAGTTCTAGTTCAGTTCTAGTTCAGTTCTAGTTCAGTTCTAGTTCAGTTCTAGTTCAGTTCTAGTTCAGTTCTAGTTCAGTTCTAGTTCAGTTCTAGTTCAGTTCTAGTTCAGTTCTAGTTCAGTTCTAGTTCAGTTCTAGTTCAGTTCTAGTTCAGTTCTAGTTCAGTTCTAGTTCAGTTCTAGTTCAGTTCTAGTTCAGTTCTAGTTCAGTTCTAGTTCAGTTCTAGTTCAGTTCTAGTTCAGTTCTAGTTCAGTTCTAGTTCAGTTCTAGTTCAGTTCTAGTTCAGTTCTAGTTCAGTTCTAGTTCAGTTCTAGTTCAGTTCTAGTTCAGTTCTAGTTCAGTTCTAGTTCAGTTCTAGTTCAGTTCTAGTTCAGTTCAGTTCAGTTCTAGTTCAGTTCTAGTTCAGTTCTAGTTCAGTTCTAGTTCAGTTCTAGTTCAGTTCTAGTTCAGTTCTAGTTCAGTTCTAGTTCAGTTCTAGTTCAGTTCTAGTTCAGTTCTAGTTCAGTTCTAGTTCAGTTCTAGTTCAGTTCTAGTTCAGTTCTAGTTCAGTTCTAGTTCAGTTCTAGTTCAGTTCTAGTTCAGTTCTAGTTCAGTTCTAGTTCAGTTCTAGTTCAGTTCTAGTTCAGTTCTAGTTCAGTTCTAGTTCAGTTCTAGTTCAGTTCTAGTTCAGTTCTAGTTCAGTTCTAGTTCAGTTCTAGTTCAGTTCTAGTTCAGTTCTAGTTCAGTTCTAGTTCAGTTCTAGTTCAGTTCTAGTTCAGTTCTAGTTCAGTTCTAGTTCTTTAGTTCAGTTCTAGTTCAGTTCTAGTTCAGTTCTAGTTCAGTTCTAGTTCAGTTCTAGTTCAGTTCTAGTTCAGTTCTAGTTCAGTTCTAGTTAAGTTCTAGTTCAGTTCTAGTTCAGTTCTAGTTCAGTTCTAGTTCAGTTCTAGTTCAGTTCTAGTTCAGTTCTAGTTCAGTTCGAGTTCAGTTCTAGTTCAGTTCTAGTTCAGTTCTAGTTCAGTTCTAGTTCAGTTCTAGTTCAGTTCTAGTTTAGTTCTAGTTCAGTTCTAGTTCAGTTCTAGTTCAGTTCTAGTTCAGTTCTAGTTCAGTTCTAGTTCAGTTCTAGTTTAGTTCTAGTTCAGTTCTAGTTCAGTTCTAGTTCAGTTCTAGTTCAGTTCTAGTTCAGTTCTAGTTCAGTTCTAGTTCAGTTCTAGTTCAGTTCTAGTTCAGTTCTAGTTCAGTTCTAGTTCAGTTCTAGTTCAGTTCTAGTTCAGTTCTAGTTCAGTTCTAGTTCAGTTCTAGTTCAGTTCTAGTTCAGTTCTAGTTCAGTTCTAGTTCAGTTCTAGTTCAGTTCTAGTTCAGTTCTAGTTCAGTTCTAGTTCAGTTCTAGTTCAGTTCTAGTTCAGTTCTAGTTCAGTTCTAGTTCAGTTCTAGTTCAGTTCAAGTTCAGTTCTAGTTCAATTCTAGTTCAGTTCTAGTTCAGTTCTAGTTCAGTTCTAGTTCAGTTCTAGTTCAGTTTTAGTTCAGTTCTAATTCTTTACTTTATTCATTTATTATAAATGTTTTCCTTCTTTCAGACTATATTTGAACAAAGCCGATCAATTTACTCTCAACTCTAGTCAACCCTTACCCTATTTCGATTACAATGTGATTGGCCGCGGCAATATTTTAAAGAGTGGTCATGTTGATTTACCCGACAAGCCTAAAGTATATAACTTAAGTTTAACTCCCGAACTCTCGTGGGCACCGAATTTCGGCATCTATGTCTACTATGTAGATGAAAAGGGAGAATATCATTATGCTGAACAGAGATATCATATTGATTTTGAGTTACAGAACCAGGTAGGAAAATTATAACATACCCTTTTAAGGAAACCTTAATAAATTTGAGTTTTTCTTCCACAACAGATTAATGTAACCGCAGAAAAACAGGTTAAACCTGGTCAAGAGGTGGCCTTAAAGATTTCCACCGAACCCAATTCCTTTGTGGGACTTATGGCCGTCGATCAAAGTGTTTTGTTATTGAGATCCAACAACGATTTGAATCCTTATGAATTCAATTGGGTTTTAGGATCTTATAGCACAAATACTCCTCATCAGGGAGGCTATTCCGAATATCCCGGTACTACTTCTGGTTGTGTTACCTTAACAAATGCGGATTATTTCTATAATTGGACTCGACCTGATTACATGTCAAGTGAGTTGTTACGAGAGGCTATAGAGCAGGATTATGTATCAACGGTAGGTTGTCATTTATTAATTTTATAGGACCATTTTCAGCTGCAGATCGTGGTTTTGTTAGTAATGATATTAATCTTAAGACTGCAGTGAAAGGTGCCGCCGCTCCGGGAGCACCAGGAATATCTACATTTGCTGCTGAGAGTGCCCAAGCGGGAGGAGGTTTCGGAGGAGGTGCTGAAACTGTGCAAGTACGTAAAGACTTTTCGGAAACTTGGCTGTTTGCAGATATTGAAAAGTGAGTGAATCCTGATATTTTAGCGAAGCAAATATTAAATATTTATATTTAAAAATTTAGTACTGAAACTGCTGAATTCACCTGGTCTAAGAAGATTCCCGAAACTATTACTTCCTGGGTATTGACAGCATTCTCTTTGAACCCCACCAAGGGTTTGGGTGTCACCAAGGATCAAACTAAAATCACCACTTTCTTGCCCTTCTTCATATCCATCAGATTACCCTATTCCGTTAAAAGAGGTTGGTAAAGCAACGTATAAATTCTTTAACATGTTCTACATTTTATTTATGTTCCAGGCGAAGTTATCAATGTTCCTGCTTTGGTCTTTAACTACTTGGACAAAGCCTTAGATGTTGAAGTCACCTTGGATAACAGTGATGGTGAATACGAATTCACTGAATTCTCCAATGAAATTATAAGCGAACAAAAACAAATGAAGAGCGTACGTGTCCCGGCCAATGGAGCTGCTGGTGTTTCCTTCTTACTCAAGCCCAAGGTCATTGGTAATGTCATGCTAAAATTTACTGCTATTTCACCAGTTGCCGGTGATGCTATACACAAATCTATGAAGGTGGTTCCCGAGGGTGTTACCCAATATGCCAATCGTGCCTATTTGGTTAATTTGAAAAAGGAACCAGAGGTTAAAACTTCCTTTGAATTGGAATTGCCTGAGGATTTGGTGCCCGATTCGGAGCACGTAGAAGTTGGTGTTATGGGTGATATTTTGGGTCCTGTTTTGAATAACTTGGACAATTTGGTGCGCTTGCCTACCGGATGTGGTGAACAGACCATGTCCACTTTGTTGCCTAATTATATAGTCATGAAATATCTTAAGGATTCCAATCGTTTAACTCCCGCCATGGAAACTAAACTTATTTACAATATGGAGACTGGTTATCAAAATATGTTGAAGTATCGTCATCCTGATGGTTCTTTCAGTAGTTTTGGTCCCGCTCAAATGAAAGATAAACCACGCAATGGTTCTACCTGGTTGACCGCCTATGTTATGCGTTCTTTGCAGCAAATTAAGGAATTTGTTGATGTCAGTGATAAGATCATTGATGAAGGTATTAACTATTTGACAAAACAACAGGCTCCTAATGGTACTTTCACCGAAAAAGGAGATTACTTCTATGCTTCACAAAGAAATCATGTCACACTTACCGGTTCAACTGTTTTGGCTTTACTGGAAAATGCCACCTATGCCGAGAAATATTCACAAGAATTGAAAAAAGGTTTGGACTACATAGCCCAAAATGTGGAAAAAACCGATTCTTTGCAGGCCCAAGCTATGGGTACCTATACCTTAAACAAGGCCAAACATGCTGATGCCAAAGAAAAACTATCTAAACTTACATCGCTAGCTAAAACCGAATCCGATCGCATGTGGTGGTCTTCGGAGAAAAAGCCCATCGGTCCCAGATGGTGGTTCTATGTTTTCAGCAATGATGTTGAAATTACCTCTTACGCCTTATTGACCATGTTGGATCAGGATTCCACGAAGGTGGATGATGTTTTGCCCATTATTAAATGGTTGATTGCTCAACGTAATAGTTATGGTGGTTTTGCCTCCACCCAGGATACTGTTGTGGGCTTAATGGCTCTTACTAAGTTTGCCAAGTTTGCTGATTATGAACCCGCTAAAATGACTGTTGATATTGAGTCAAAGGATAAGAAGGAAATGATTAAACTGACTGAGGATAATGGTATTTTATATCAAAATGTGGAGGTGAGTTTGAACTAGAACTGAACTAAAACTGAAATAAAAGTGAACTAAAACTGAACTTGAACTGAACTAAAACTCAGCTAGAACTGTGCTAGAACTGAACTAGAACTGACGTAGAACTGAAGTAGAACTGAAGTAGAACTGAAGTAGAACTGAAGTAGAACTTAAGTAGAACTGAAGTAGAACTGAAGTAGAACTGAAGTAGAACTGAAGTAGAACTGAAAGACTAGAACTGAACTAGAACTGAACTAGAACTGAACTAGAACAGAACTGAACTAGAACTGAACTAGAACTGAACTAGAACTGAACTAGAACTGAACTAGAACTGAACTAGAACTGAACTAGAACTGAACTAGAACTGAACTAGAACTGAACTAGAACTGAACTAGAACTGAACTAGAACTGAACTAGAACTGAACTAGAACTGAACTAGAACTGAACTGAACTCGTACTGAACTAGAACTAGAAAAAAAAACGATTTAACCAATTACGAAATTATTTCTTTCCACAGATGCCTCCTAAAACAAAAGCTATTGAATTCACCGCCAAGGGTACCGGTACTGCACTCGTACAAATTGCCTATCAATACAACATTTTCGAAAAGGAACCTAAGCCCAGCTTTACCATAAAAACCACCAAACTCGACAAAAGCCGTCCAACACATTTGGAAATGCTAGTGTGTGTCAATTATGAAGGTGAGGGTGAATCCTCCAACATGGCTGTGTTGGAAATTTCAACACCCTCCGGTTATATAATCGATGATGAAAGTCTCAAGGAAATCAAGGAACTCAAGAGAGTTAGCGTAAGTTAAACCAACAAAAAAATTAAAATAAAACGCAATTAATTAAATTATTTTTCTTTCCATAGAATACTGAACTGAAAAACTCCGATTCCTTGTTGGTAGTCTATTTCGATCATTTGTACAAAAATGACGAACAATGCCTAATGATTGAGGCTTTCAGAACTCACGCTGTGGCCATGCAAAAACCAGCTCCTATAGTGTTGTATGATTATTATGATACCAGCAAGAAGGTAACCTCCTTCTATGAAATCGAATCGAAATTATGTGATATTTGCGAGAGCGAAGAGGAGTGCAGTAAATGCAAATAAGAGAATAATTTGTTCTACTTAAATTATATTTAACTTTTTTATACGAACATTTTCTTAGTCTGTTATTAATGCAAAAATGATTTCTTTGTTTTGTATGTATAGAATTATAAAATTTATGGATCTTACAAGATTCCTTAACAAAAAACTATTTAAAAAAAATATTTTTTTGTAATTTTAGGTTATAAATAAAAATAAAAATATGTACAATAAAAACAAACAAAAAATTTTTATATTTTCAATGGGATCTTTACTCAAAGGCAAAAGGAGGACAAATTAAGTTTAAGTTCAGTTCTAGTTTAGTTCTAGTTCAGTTCTAGTTCAGTTCTAGTTCAGTTCTAGTTCAGTTCTAGTTCAGTTCTAGTTCAGTTCTAGTTCAGTTCTAGTTCAGTTCTAGTTCAGTTCTAGTTCAGTTCTAGTTCAGTTCTAGTTCAGTTCTAGTTCAGTTCTAGTTCAGTTCTAGTTCAGTTCTAGTTCAGTTCTAGTTCAGTTCTAGTTCAGTTCTAGTTCAGTTCTAGTTCAGTTCTAGTTCAGTTCTAGTTCAGTTCTAGTTCAGTTCTAGTTCAGTTCTAGTTCAGTTCTAGTTCAGTTCTAGTTCAGTTCTAGTTCAGTTCTAGTTCAGTTCTAGTTCAGTTCTAGTTCAGTTCTAGTTCAGTTCTAGTTCAGTTCTAGTTCAGTTCTAGTTCAGTTCTAGTTCAGTTCTAGTTCAGTTCTAGTTCAGTTCTAGTTCAGTTCTAGTTCAGTTCTAGTTCAGTTCTAGTTCAGTTCTAGTTCAGTTCTAGTTCAGTCTATTCTAGTTCAGTTCTAGTTCAGTTCTAGTTCAGTTCTAGTTCAGTTCTAGTTCAGTTCTAGTTCAGTTCTAGTTCAGTTCTAGTTCAGTTCTAGTTCAGTTCTAGTTCAGTTCTAGTTCAGTTCTAGTTCAGTTCTAGTTTCAGTTCTAGTTCAGTTCTAGTTCAGTTCTAGTTCAGTTCTAGTTCAGTTCTAGTTCAGTTCTAGTTCAGTTCTAGTTCAGTTCTAGTTCAGTTCTAGTTCAGTTCTAGTTCAGTTCTAGTTCAGTTCTAGTTCAGTTCTAGTTCAGTTCTAGTTCAGTTCTAGTTCAGTTCTAGTTCAGTTCTAGTTCAGTTCTAGTTCAGTTCTAGTTCAGTTCTAGTTCAGTTCTAGTTCAGTTCTAGTTCAGTTCTAGTTCAGTTCTAGTTCAGTTCTAGTTCAGTTCTAGTTCAGTTCTAGTTCAGTTCTAGTTCAGTTCTAGTTCAGTTCTAGTTCAGTTCTAGTTCAGTTCTAGTTCAGTTCTAGTTCAGTTCTAGTTCAGTTCTAGTTCAGTTCTAGTTCAGTTCTAGTTCAGTTTCTAGTTCAGTTCTAGTTCAGTTCTAGTTCAGTTCTAGTTCAGTTCTAGTTCAGTTCTAGTTCAGTTCTAGTTCAGTTCTAGTTCAGTTCTAGTTCAGTTCTAGTTCAGTTCTAGTTCAGTTCTAGTTCAGTTCTAGTTCAGTTCTAGTTCAGTTCTAGTTCAGTTCTAGTTCAGTTCTAGTTCAGTTCTAGTTCAGTTCTAGTTCAGTTCTAGTTCAGTTCTAGTTCAGTTCTAGTTCAGTTCTAGTTCAGTTCTAGTTCAGTTCTAGTTCAGTTCTAGTTCAGTTCTAGTTCAGTTCTAGTTCAGTTCTAGTTCAGTTCTAGTTCAGTTCTAGTTCAGTTCTAGTTCGTTCTAGTTCGTCTAGTTCAGTTCTAGTTCGTTCTAGTCAGTTCTAGTTCAGTTCTAGTTCAGTTCTAGTTCAGTTCTAGTTCAGTTCTAGTTCAGTTCTAGTTCAGTTCTAGTTCAGTTCTAGTCATTCTAGTTCTGTTCAAGTTCTTTTCTAGTTCTGTTCTAATGCTGTCCTTACTCAGTTCTAGTTCAGTTATCAAAATCTTCACAAATGTTTCCTTAAGAAAGAAAACCTTTAAAAATTTTGCTAATTATTTCCACAAAACATTTATCTTAACCTTAACTTATAATGCTTGTTTTGAGATAACATTAAACTGCAATTAATTGTATTCCCCGAACATTTTTCGAAAAATTCTCCTTGGCTTTTTCTAACGTAGACAAAGACTATAATTTGCTTTCCCCTCGTCTTAAAGTTACACGCTTCAGAACACCTTTTTCCTTTTAAAAACCAAAAACGTAATGTTCAGCTTGAACTCATTAAATTTATTTGCCATCACTTTAATACAATAAATTGTACTCCTGAGGGCAATTGTTTTCAAAAAAAACAGAAGAAGAAATTTAGACTTTTTTAAATAAATGAGGGTGTTGGGGGGATAACAAAGAAGCGAAAAAAAATTTCATATCTTTTTGTTACACACAACATATGAAGGTTTTGCTCTTTTTGAAGGGACTTGCTTTTTTAAAGAATTTCGGTGTTGCGAAAAAAACTTATTTAAAAATTGCTAACAAATTATAAGTATAAAAGAATTTTAAACAATTTTTACAGCAAAAAAGGGCAACTATTTAAATGTTAAGTGCAAAAAAAATTTTGTGAAGGGGGATCAAGGCTTAAAAAAAATATATGCTATTTTGGTGTTGGGGAACTTTTTTGTGGTAGTTTTTTTCCTGTTATAAAAATAGATTGTGGTAGAATTTTTTTTTAGTATTTTAAATAAAGAGGGAATTTGTTGGAATTAATGAAGGTAGGTAATATTGATATTTTTAAACATAAAAAATTCATTTATTATTTACAGTAATGTAGCAGCCAGCAATTTTTCTCAATAAAAGTGATAAAGTTTAAAAATTTACTTAAACGGAAAATATTATAAAAAATTAAAATTTTACATAGAAAAATTTAAATCCTCATAAATTTTATGTGATAAATAGACTTCATCAAAACTGTGATTTAAACCATTTAGCAAAACAGCAGCTTTATGAATTCAAAGTTAAAAAGCATAAAACTTCAATCAATCTAATCAAAATTCAACAATAAATCTAAAATGTTTAACTCGTACATAATAAGAAAAAAATGTTCACCCTGAAATTGTAACAATGAATTCAAAATCACTTAAATACTTTTTATATTTATTTTACCCTGCAACAGACAAAAAAATCGTAAAAATAAAAATTAAACTAAAAGAACAGTAATATCTCAAAAAAATATATAACATTCAACAATTTTTATACTATTTTAAGAATGAACAATGAAAAAAAAATGACAAACATAATAAGACTTCTCCCAGAACGCAACAAGATAACTCAAATTGAATGCCAATAATGTCACAAATAAGTATGAAATGAACAAAAACCAAGGCAAAAAATGAAGAATGAAACTGTGGACAATGACAATATTTGTATCTTAAATAGAATTGTATGGGAGCAACAATTGTATGGCAACAATACAAAAGGACAAAACACACACATAAAATGCCCGCTAGTTAAAAAGAAATAACAATGAGATGAGATGCTCCTCCAATAGAGAAGGAACAAACAGCATTGAAATGAACAAAAATTAAAAAGATTTCTATGGCAACTTATAAAAGGAAAAACATGTACGGGTATAATATGGTAGGAGGGTCCTACTAACACAGCTATGACGACAGTGATATAAGCTAAACATATCCTTTAGAAAATATAACAAATTTAAACAACAAAAAGAACTAGTACAGAACTAGAAGAGAACTAAAACAGAACTAGAACAGAACTAAAACAGAATTAGAACAGAACTAGACAGAACTAGAACAGAACTAGAACAGAACTAGAACAGAACTAGAACAGAACTAGAACAGAACTAGAACAGAACTAGAACAGAACTAGAACAGAACTAGAACAGAACTAGAACAGAACTAGAACAGAACTAGAACAGAACTAGAACAGAACTAGAACAGAACTAGAACAGAACTAGAACAGAACTAGAACAGAACTAGAACAGAACTAGAACAGAACTAGAACAGAACTAGAACAGAACTAGAACAGAACTAGAACAGAACTAGAACAGAACTAGAACAGAACTAGAACAGAACTAGAACAGAACTAGAACAGAACTAGAACAGAACTATAACAGAACTAGAACAGAACTAGAACAGAACTAGAACAGAACTAGAACAGAACTAGAACAAACTAGAACAGAACTAGAACAGAACAGAACTAGAACAGAACTAGAACAGAACTAGAACAGAACTAGAACAGAACTAGAACAGAACTAGAACAGAACTAGAACAGAACTAGAACAGAACTAGAACAGAACTAGAACAGAACTAGAACAGAACTAGAACAGAACTAGAACAGAACTAGAACAGAACTAAAACAGAACTAGAACAGAACTAGAACAGAACTAGAACAGAACTAGATCAGAACTAGAACAGAACTAGAACAGAACTAGAACAGAACTAGAACAGAACTAGAACAGAACTAAACAGAACTAGAACAGAACTAGAACAGAACTAGAACAGAACTAGAACAGAACTAGAACAGAACTTGAACAGAAACTAGAACAGAACTAGAACAGAACTAGAACAGAACTAGAACAGAACTAGAACAGAACTAGAACAGAACTAGAACAGAACTAGAACAGAACTAGAACAGAACTAGAACAGAATAACTAGAACAGAACTAAACAGAACTAGAACAGAACTAGAACAGAACTAGAACAGAACTAGAACAGAACTAGAACAGAACTAGAACAGAACTAGAACAGAACTAGAACAGAACTAGAACAGAACTAGAACAGAACTAGAACAGAACAGAACTAGAACAGAACTATGAACAGAACTAGAACAACTAGAACAACTAGAACAGAACTAGAACAGAACTAGAACAGAACTAGAAACAGAACTAGAACAGAAACTAGAACAGAACTAGAACAGAACTATGACAGAACTAGAACAGAACTAGAAACAGAACTAGAACAGAACAGAACAACTAGAACAGAACTAGAACAGAAACTAGAACATAACTAGAACAGAACCTAGAACATAGAACTAGAACAGAACTAGAACAGGAACGAGAACAGAACTAGAATCAAGAACTAGAACGAGGAACTAGAACAGAACTAGAAAACAGAAACTAAAAACAGAACTAGACAGAACTAGAACAGAACTAGAACAGTATACTGAGAACAGAACGCCAGAGTATAACTAGAAATACAATACAACTAATAACAGAACTATAATCCTACCAAAATGTAGGGTGTTGCAACAATAAAAACGCAAACTGCTACAAAATAACATATTTGGTATAAAAAATTATACAATTTTCTC